TTTGTCAAGGTAGAAAGGGAGGGAGTTGAGGGTAGGATTGGTACCGTTCTTTTCCTAAACAACGTAACATGGGCTCTGAATGATATGTTCCTAGCGTTTTATTAAGTGTTAAGCTTAAAATTTATATCGCAAAAGAGCTTCCGTATATTTTACAGGTATAAAAGTAAGCCATCGATTATAATAGTAGTGTTTCTCGCAAAAGATTCAGTATGCCGAATGCTGACTGACGTTTTTCATACTGAATGGTCGACTTATTTTTCCCTTATTTCCCGATCATGACAAGGAGCACACGGCCAGTGTGACCGGTCAGCAGGGGATGCTCAATCCTCCATGGCACCTGATCCTACCCCTGATGTTTTAGAAGTCCGTGTTTACTCCGCCTCTGATTTGAATTTTAATGGAGTTTTAAGCTTGAAAACTTGTCGTTATCTCCATATATTTCCTTCTAAAGATGGTCTAATCAGTCAAATTAATTTTCACATATAATAGCTTATATTCTAATGAGGGATCTTTTTCGTGCTAGCACTTACTGCGACATGGGACATTGGTTTATACGGTCTCATCCGATGGATCGGTCCTCATGTCCCGCAATTGGATTCGAACCTGCGACGTAAGGATTCACCCCTTACTTACCAACTTTAGAGGAGATGTTTAACCACTGCGCCCACGGGCGACTTTGAATTAGTTGGGAGATGTACACCCCATATGCAGGTGGTTTGGAATACTATTATTATCGGCTGAACTTACCGGGATAGCCTTTTTTGCAGGGTATCTACAAAATACGAAATTAATTCTCATTTAATTTTTGTTTACTTATGCATTTTGAAAAAAAAAAATATACACTAAAAATTATAGAGACCCTTTACGCACTTTGACAAAAATGTATTCGAACAATCATCCTTGACTTTTAGTAAAAAGACAACATTGTTTTATTATAGGGCTGGGCGAAAATATCGATATTTCAATATATTGCGATACAATGACAAAAAATATCGTATCGCAATACGATTTTGTGATATCGATATATTGGTAATATGCATAGATAAAGGAATTTTGTTATTAAATATCAAAATGGAGTTATGAAAGTTTGTTATTAAGCCAAACAGTAAGACAGAAGTTGTTTTGTGGGACCATTTCAGAGCAAAGCTTAAATGAAATCAACAAGATTTTTTTGCGTGTTGGTTACTTATCATAGTTATGTACACTCTGCTTGTAAATTAAGTAAATATAGTAAGAAAATGCCATTTTAATTACATTGAAAATATTGCAATACATATTGCAATACAGTTTAAAATATCGCAATATATCGCAATACGAAATCTAGGACCAATACCCAGCCCTATGTTTTATATATCTGAAAAAAGCAATATATGATCTATCCCCATAGAGAAGGTGAAGAGAAAACAGGAAAAATGGTCCAAAAGTCCATTTCTTTGTCATCCCTACCAAAGTATAATTGTATTTATTTTTATAATTTCTTTCATTAAAATCTCCTTTAATTTGAGTAAAATACATAAATACACTGGCCTTGTCAGCGAATACAATCTATCATTAACTGAAATGCTCACTAGCATTTTTCATACTAATTGTTAGGGCATTATTTATTATCTGACTTTTCGACGGACTTTTCGTTATTTTCGATCAGGACAAGGAATACACGACGGGCGGCAGGGGATGCTCACTCCTTAATGGCACCTGATCTCACCTCTGATGTTTAAGAGGTCGGTATTTGATCTGCTCCAAAATTTGTATTGTTTAAAGGGCGTTTTAATTGGAATTCAGTACTAAGTACAAAATTATTGTATTACAACATATTCACAGGATCTGGAATTTGCAATGATGAAGTTTGGATGAGAATTGTTTCTGATGAAGAAGTTTAATACCTCACTGAATCCAAGCCTCAGTGAAGTACAGGTAAAACAAGGGATATAAGCCTGCTGGACTTACTATACAACGACAGTCATCAAACAGAGTGCGTCATCTTTTACCGTCATTGTCTATTAACTGTTCCGAATGTACCCCGGATGTAGAAATATATAAAATGAACGCCGGAACCTAAAAACGGCACTAGGTCACTGCCCGTTATCTTCACCTTAATATTTCCCCTATCAGATCAGTGGCTCACTGCTTCTGCTTAACGTATGGTTCTTTTTCTTTGAAGATGTAGATGAGAAATTCCCTTATAATTTCTCTTAATTGAGAGAAAGTATAATTACTTATATTTTGGTAGGAATTGATTTCATTTATACATATCTTATATTTCAAATTAAACAAACATGTGTATTTTATTGAAAAACAAATCAATGGGATTGAGAGTTATTCCATTTTGTACGATGGGATTGGAAGTTATTCCAACTTTAACAATCAACAAATTTACAAATCAAAAAAATAAAAGAAAGAAAGAAAAAGGGTGCAGAGAAATAAGAAAGGAATGGAATAAGAGTGCAAGGAGTGAAAGAAAGAAGGGATTGCAAAAAGTACAGAATGGTTTCGCAGGCTATTTATAGGAATCTTTTCGATTTTTTAATATACTTATGTACGGCTTTAACAATGTTGATTTTTTTATTTTGGAATTTTGAATTTACGAATTCAAGCATTCAAACCGTCGCCTGCTTCTCATTTAAATTATTGGAATGGGCTTTTGTTTTAAAGATATACTGTGAAATCACATATTTTCGTGTGGTCAAATTTTCAAGGTTTGGGGAAAAATTATTGGTTTGTGGGGATTTGATTTTGTGGTTGGGAAAATTTTAGTAATGATGCATAAGAATTTTTACATTTTCTGGTGTTCATAAATTCGTGAGTCTCTCCATACCTCGATACAACGAAATTTAAACCCCCACAAAAATTTGTGATCTCACAGTACATGGCGTTCCTGAGCTGAAAAATAAAAAATACGAGATTAAATGTAGATTTACATATTTCTTATTTACGTTCAAATACAAATTTTCACCGATTTTGAACTTAAATATCCCTACGTTTCTATATTTAAATTGGCTTTAAAATGTGTCTCCTATTTAATTCCCAGCCGGAAATAAATTGGGTTTTTTAAAATCAAAAGGCGATTGATTTAAATTGTATAATATACAGGAAAGTCCTATTTTTTATGTAGAAACAAAACAAACAGAAAGATCTTTTTTAATAATAGTTAGTCTGAACTAATAAAAAATAAGCCATATATGACTTTAAGATTACTGTTTGTTATATTCATATTTCAGTGTATTGATTTATTTACTGCTCTAATTCCATTTAAATAAAATAAATTCTAAAACACAAATCCTGAGGGAAAATGGCAGATTTTCATTATAATGAAGGATATGACATACCGAACAGTATTCAATATCAAACTCCAGAAAACAGTCCAAAATGGGAGCAGACATCCGAGATGGGATCAGGTGTCATGAAAGAGTGAGCATCCCCTGCTGACCGGTCACACCCGACGTGTGCTCCTTGTCATGATCGGGGAATAACGGAAAAAGCCGGCGTTAGTTTAGTTTATAAATAATGGACTAACAATAAGTATGAAAAACGTCAGTCAGCATTTGATTCAATGGTAAATTGTATTTGTTGATAAGGTCATTCTATCGATGACCATTGACATTACGAAATGATAACTTTAAACGAGACTGCTGATTTATTTTGTTTCATCAACTTGTTTGTCGATAATTTACCTCGTTCTAGAAAATGTTCACACGTAGAGCATGCTCTTGCATATCGAATCAACTGAGATATACATGTATATAGGTATGAATTCCGTATGCAGGTGATGAAGGAATATTGCTGCAATGTTATAGTCGTTCATTTAGCAAATCAGGAAGAACATTAAAAAAACCAAGTTCAGCATTTTCCAGAATGGTTTTATTGAAACAGTAAAAAGCTTTCTGTTAAAGTATCATCCAAGCAGACACTTGGCAGTTTCCAAAAAAAATTTAGCTAGTCGGAGATGAAATATGTGGAGATAACGAATAGGAAACGAGTTCAAAGGTCCATTAAACAATACAAAATAGGCGCTGAACAATCAAGGATATCCTAAACATCAGAGGTGGGATCAGGTGTCATGGAGAAGTGAGCATCTCCTATCGACCGATCACACCCACCGTGTGCTCCTTGTAATGATACGAAAATAACGGGGAAAAATTCGTAGACAACTCAATGTATAAATAATGGTCTAACAATCAGTATGAATTGAAGTCAACATTTACCTGATAAATTGTATAAATTTACTAACAAGATCATTGTATCGACCATAGAACTTACAAAATATTGACTTTAAACGAGACTGTCGATATTCTTTCTTCATCAACTTGTTTGTAAGATTTACGGAGACAACCGAGTGCTCTGGATGAACGAGACCATTTCTGTTGCAGCTTAATTAATTCAGAATGTTACGTTGTGAAGCTTATCATAAAGAGGGGGTTAAATAGAAGACTTGATGAAAACCGAATATTTTTGAGAATGTTGAATCATCGCATTGTGAAAAAAAATTACGAATGCATATAACCAAAAATAAATGTTAAATGATATTTTCTGCTTTATCTACACTTTCTAAATCTTCTTAATCAATAAATCTGATGTGGTTTTTTTCCAATTCATAATAAGAATAGAACTGCCTTAAAATTGTATTTAAATTTGTTGGATTTTGCTTTCCATGTTGATGTTTTCATAGAGTTTATTATTCTTTTTTTATCACACTTAAACACACATACACATTCATTTTGTATTATAAACATGTATATTTAAAAAAAAAAAACATTGAATGAGATAATTGCATGTTATTGTTTACTTTCAAAAGTGGAATATTACACGCGATTGGACAATTTACACCACTGAGCACGAATGATGAAATCCTACATAAAAAGAATGAGAATTCTTCTTTAGCCCTCTCTGTATTTAGTTATGTCGATTAGAATTGAAATGTTATTAATTTTTGTAACAGTTATCGGGGTAGGGCTATCACGATCAGCTGCTGCTGTAAGAACTAATGATTTCTTAAAAAATAATATTTCCGATCTCCATTTCAAATTGTTCACGTCCATTCAGGAACAGAACAAAATGTTGAAGGTAAGAAATAATTACTATTGCTTGCAATCGTTAATTACTTTATATAGACGGGAAGTCCTAACGTATAGAATATAACACAAAAGTGAAATATTAAGGGACATCCTTTGGAAAATGCTCATTTGATCTCTCCTGACTAAGGAAAAACTGGATCGGTAGGAAGGCAGTGAATAATTTTCAGAAATTTTAAACATTTGTGATGAATTTTCTAAATGAATGAAAATGAAGGTATTATAAAAGTTAAAATAGTAGAGCGATTCTGTGAATTTTTTTTTCTGAAATTGATTTTTAAAAATCGTTTTTCAGAGGATTAGAAATTAATCGAACTTGAGCCATTTTAGCTAGTCGATTACACATTTCATAAACTTTGCCGACTTTTTGTTTGACGTAACAATGTTGTTGAGCGAGATCCGTAGTGACAAAGCATGTTGATTTAATAACTGATCAACACGAAGTTCACGTAATCAAATGAAATGAAACTTAATCGACGAAATAATGTTTTCACATAAGAAAAGTGGTTTTAAAACATGAGGGGTATAAGTATTTTTGAATGACCTTTGTATTTGTAGTCTGCTGTATTTGAGACTGAGTGCTCCAGTCGCGGATGTACATTTAGTGGATGTCAATCAAGAAAAAGTAATTCATGTGATGGAAAAATGCTTTCAACATTGCGTCAAATTGAGATCAGTGTCAAACAACTCACGGGAAAAGATAGAAGAAAAGGTTAGGAAATGTTTTTCTTCATTTGTTCCATTGGGGGAAATTTTTAATGTACGAAGTTGATTAAAATTGAAATACTCGGTAAACTAATTGCATGGTTTATATGTATAAAAATAAAATCAATTTAATTTTTTTCAATCAGTTCTTAACGGTGTGAAACATATGGTGTTCTGTAGAAGCTTTCTCTGCTATGTTATGCTTTGTATAAATTTGCAGTGCTATAAAACCATATATGTAATGAACTAATTTTACAGGAACTTGTAAGAACGGTTGGAAGCGATTCAGAGGGCACTGCTACAGAGAGTTTGTTCAGAAATTAGACTGGTTTGGAGCTCAAGTAAGATACATTTTTCTTTTTCTTTTATACAGAAAAAATTTCAGCAACAATGATGACAAACTAATCATGCAGTATGTTTTTGTCAGATGTTCTGCAGATTACAAAAAGCTACCCTAGTAAGAATAGACAACAAAGAAGAAAATGAGTGGCTAGTAAAAACTTTCTCCAAAGGTATATTTAAATAACTTTTACAAAAATGCTAACGAAGAGAGCAGATAATATTTCAGCTATTGATAGCCGACCTTCATCAATCTTCTTATGAAGCAAAATTTATTCGAAAACTTCTACACGAGAAGAAAACATTTGCTGTATAACTTTCAATTCCACATTCAGACAAATAGACTACGATTTATCAATAACAATAGTTATTTTCATTTATATATCTACTCGATATCTAAAATGAAATTTACAAAAACAATCACAGAGTCTGCCATATTTGTTTCATGTTTGGATGATTTGTTCCTGCAGAACAATTATGGTTAGATTTAAACGACCTGTCTGTGGAAGGAAGATGGCGGTTCTTTACAACAGGAAAGCCAGTGATCTACACAAACTGGATGCCAAGACAACCGGACAGTGTTGGTGAGGACTGTGCACATATGAACTATCCAGGTTACAAAAAAGGTCAATGGAATGATAGAGAGTGTGGTGTCAAGCTTCGCTTTATTTGTGAATCATCTGGTACGTTGATGAATTAGACAATAAATCATGATTTTATCATATTAGAATTGATAACGTTAGTTTTAAAAGTTAGCTGCATAAAAATGTTGTTTTTTTACAGACAATCTTTGGAATGAATAGGTAAAGAAGAGAAAATGTCCATATCAATTGTACGTAATAAAAAAATCTTTATTCGTATCTGTTTTGTTAAAGCGGTACCTAACTTGAGTTTGACAAGGATAAAACTACTTACCCAATTTTAGCCAAAGTTGGTACAAAGCATCAATATTTAAAAGAGTACATATGAAGCCCAAGTCCCCTTCCAATGGGAGATTATCGAGAAAAGTAAAAAGATGAATCATGTTTTTCACCACTCGACCAGAAAAAGAAACTTGCATGGAGACTTAAAAAAAATCAATTTATCAGGTAATATAGACACTAAATTGTTGAAATCATGGACCCCTTGAGGCCAAAACAGCTAATCAAATTTTCAGGCATAGGACTGTGAAGAGGAAACTAGGATAACAAACAGTGATCAATCTAAAAAAATAATATGTGAAGACAGCTTAGTGCATTGACCACTGGAAATTTTATAGATCATAGATGGGATCAGGTGTCCGGGGGGGGGGGGGGTCCAGTCACATTAGCCGTGAGACCTATGAAAGATTTTGTAGTTAATTTACAATAAAAACAAAAGGCTAAGGATTTGAATGAAACACTTTAGCCTAAATATTGACCAAAGTTATATTTGCTTACAAAGTCAATATGACAACCATAGAATGCAGGAGAATTGCTAACTTTAAATTAAACGAGGTTGTTGAGTTCCCATAGCATCAAGTTATTTGTCAGTAGTCTGACTCTGTTGAAAGTTGATCGTACACGAAGGATACTCTTAAATATCAAATAAGTAGCTATAGGATGTTACATGTAAACTGTAGGCAAGTGAAGGATGACAATAGAAAAGACATCTCGTTTGACATAAAATTCAGTTGTTTGCCTTTATAGTCTACATTAATAAAAACATTAACAGCTTTGGCAGAGCAGACACTCTATTTCTTTTCAAGTTCACTGGGATACATAGAGTCCACATCCGAATAGAAATTACTATTTTAAATTGGTAGTGCGTGGTTGATATACCTAAATGTCCGAGATATGAAGGTCACAACAAGTGTTTTCTTCTTCCAATGTATAAGTTTTTGAATAATTTCTACATCATATGATTTTAAAGATAGGTCTGTGAATAATGTGGCTTAACTGGTATCTATTGGAATTCCTATAAATTATTGGATGACCGTATCTTTAAAAAATAAATAGATTCTCAATAAGAAACTCAAGCATCTTTTAATATCTACTTCAGAATACTTATGTGTACAATCAGAATGTTTCAACAAAATTTCTTTGTAAATGACTAATGTCTAGGTAAGAAAATTTTTCCATTTTTATTGAAAAATCACATGCTGTCAAAAACCATGGACCTCTTTATATGGTAGGGATTTGTATAAAAAAAAAATTAAAAGTCGTATGTTTTGATGCTATTGCAACATTTTATGATTTCAATTTTCTTAAGGTCCTTAGATTTCTTATGTTTTTACATCATTAATAGGCATTCCCACATCTAAATCAGAATACAAAACCAACTGTTCCCAGTTGCAATTAAAACAGAGAAGACCTGCTATTCATCGCCATTGATGCAGTATAAATTAAAGAGAAATACATGTGTGATGAGGCATGATATACCATATAGGCGGTTTAGTTGCTCAAAATATGCCAATAATGTTGGCAGAAATTTTTGGAGTTCCGTGACAATGCAAAAGAGAGGAAATTCAACCTTTAGATAAGTTTCACTTTGTTAAGTATATGTTTGAATACCCATTTACACAAAAGTTGGAGTAAAACGATACCAAATGAAATTTATATTCTACTACAGCAGACTTTTCTTAGTTATTGAAGTAATTATCTTTTTTCAGTAGTGATAATGAAGAATGCAAAGGCGATTAAAAATTTTAGCAGCGAACGACAAAACCGCTAAATGAAGCCATTGCTAGCTCCCTGATAAAACTACCCGTTATGCGCATAATAATCCTTGATCTCAACTCCAGTTTTGTAACTTATTTCTAGCCCAAAAAACCTTCTTTTCTAGAGCTATACCGGTCTACATGGGATACTTATTGCTTTCAGACATTTTTATTCTGATCAGTGATTACCGGATGTATGAAGTATTCCAGACATCATCTTCACCAGTATCATTTCAGCTCAGCCTGATCCAGGTTTTCGTAAGCCTTAGAGATCGAGCGGTTGATTTTCTTATTTCATTTGAGCAAGATGCTTGAGTAATCTTGGTATATATTTGTTTATACATGTTTTTATGTTTAGTTGCAAGTTTGTCTGTCTCCCTTTATGTGTGAATGTAAGTTAGTATGGCTGAATGTATAAACAGCATACAAGTTGTTACATTTTTGTTTTTCTAGATACATGTATAACAGCAATTTGGCCATGTTTAAAAAATTGTTTGAATGCCCTCTCCCGACCGTCTGTCCGACTGGCTAAAAACGGCCAGACTCAAAACTTTTTGACATCCAGGAAACAGTTATTTTTCTTTATGCATTCAAAATACTAAGTACACATTTTGAAATATTCAATGTAAAAAAAAGTTCCCACCTATCTACAGACGTAATTTTCTTCACCCTGAGTCGGGAGAAGGCAATTTTTTTTTTAAAGATGACCTTCCCTATATATCTTTATTTATCTTAATGATTGTGTAATGATGACAAGTGGTGCAATTCTGATACTTTTTTTAAATTAAGATATCCACATTATTTGAAAATCTTTAATTACGCTATCATTTCATCCATACTGGCGTATTAATCTTTATAATCACATAGCATACCTGTGTGATTTGAGTAAACAATGGTTTAATTAATTAAGCTAAAACACAATAAATCTTATATAACACTTAAAAGGAAACTTTATAATACAATTTCAGTATTTGTACATCCAACATCAGGCATTAAGGACATACGCAACGTAGTTTGAACTTTATTAGATTCTTCACTGAAGTTAAAGAATTTCGTTGAAGGAAGGACTTGTGTACTATACTATAAATGTCAATATATGGGAATATATATCTTGAAAAATTATCGGTAGTTAAGGTACCTTGCGCATGAACGTCCTTAAACAAAACAGCATAATTTACATTTCATTCATCTACCTGAAATTATAGTCGACTTCTTTCTTAAGCTTGTAATTTCTTCATTGATTTAGATTTCTAAAGGCAGCATATTTACGTTTTTTTAGTCTAACACCTTTAAAAAAAATAGCCCATTCAGAATGAAAACAGGAAACTTTATAGATTATATATTATATACATATGCTTGAGATATATAAAAATATATTAATCAATGAATTTAACTGACAAATATCTTGTATCCTCATTATTGTAGCTGTTTGTATTTTATTTATTAAATGACTTTGTCTCAGAGATCGTTGGTATGAGTACCAAGCATCCTGGAGGTTCCCTGTCACCTGCTGACAGATCCCCAGAATCTGCCATGATATGTCCTTAAAATCTCTGTATATAAGTTGTCCACGATCATAGTGAACTAGGGTCTGTAGATCATTTAGAGCTGTTTGTGCTCTAATTGTATCTATATGTCTGCAACAAAGGATATCTAACATGTTCAATAGCACAAAGAGTGGGACAGATAAGGAAAAAGTCGTATTCTCTAGACCATATTGTTGTTCTGGTAATAAATCACAAATATAATGGATCATGTTTACAAGTGTGACATCTCCTGCTACAGCGTGTCTCATCTTTGTAAACCAAGACTGTCCCCCTACAGCCTCTGTATATTTCTCTGCATCTACATTATACATATACATTACACATGGGTTTGCTAACTTAAGCTTTACCACGTCTATAATAAATAAAGCTTTCCTGTATCTGTTTGTCTTGTAATAATACATAGCCATGAACAACAAGTCTGAGATACAACCAAACGTTGCTGCTATTTTCAACATGTAACGGGAAATTTTGTCAGCTCTATACCTTAGTTTGTTTTCAAATGCACAACTCATCGTGTGTAATGGTAATATGAAAGCTAGGTTCTGAAGGATAGAGACTGTTAATTTCTGCACCATAATAATTTGATATTGTGTCATGGGATGTGCACTAATCAACCGTTCTATTTTTTGTAGGTACATTATGCAGGTCTGTAGAGGTGTTTTGTAGATTAATATTGAATCATTACGTTGTATTTCTGTAAACAACTCAATATCAAATTCATTTTCAGAAATCAGAGTGTGCTCATCTGTACATAGTTTCTGGATAGGGTATCTAGGGTTATAAATGGCAGTAATAATAGAAGATCTAATAGAGGGACTGTGTAGCAGGAATGCAAACCCTCTCCCATACAACTCATACAATCTATTGAATGAATATTGTTGTGCTGCACCATGAATCTTACTCAGAAACATGTTATTTGTTGGAATGAAGAAGTTGGGACAGACCCCCTCATGCACCCATTTAAGAATTAGCTTAAAACAGACCCAGAAACAGTCCAAGGGATTTTGTGCACACCAGTGAGGAATTATATTTTGTTGAATCACCCAAAAAACTACTGTCTTCATGTGATAGGAACAAAGCAATTTACAATCGTCATTTAAGCCATTGTTAAGAATTTCCTTTAAAAACAATTTCAGCAAACCGTAGGTTAAGAACTGGCAATGGTTCATGGCATAGACGAGTTTACATTCCGCCTGTGAGAAAGAAATTCTCCATTCATTGTCTTCATTTCTCCCAAGTTTATGTCCTATTGGTACTAGGTGACACCCATGTTTCACTACATCATCCACAATATGAGGCTGGGGCCATGAGTGACATCTCTCTATCCAAGAAGAGACAGATGGAGGCCAAAAGTCACTAACAAAACAGTGGGCATTGTCAAATTCAAGTGGTCCAATAGATCCACTGGCACATGGTCCATGTGGAGACATGTAAATAGGTGTAGGTAGGGTGCACGCGATCTGTCTATAATTGGAACTAGATATATAATGTCTATCATTCATTCTAATACAAGCATACTGGACTTTTCTAAGCTTGCTTGGTGACAGTAAATATAGCAAAGCGTATCCTTTAGGACTATCAGAACAGTCACAGAGGATAAGAGTTTGTCTCTGTGTGTTGTAATACTGAGACTGGGATAATTCCCAGATCACACGGTGATCAGCTCGCCATAGCATCATGTCATGATCGGATTCTATGAGTCTGAACCCTTCTCTTTGACTCCCACTCAACAGCACATACCCGTAGAACTACTTACTGTAGCAACTTTTTGACTCCTTACCATATCACCCATTTCCATCACATCTCTCCTCATGGCCACCTGCTGTGAGGTTCCGAGTTTATGACACATTCCAATAAATACCGACTCTGAGATACGCTGCATGGATGTCCTACTGAAAATGATATTGGGTGAATTTATTTTGTGAATACATTTCATATTTTATTCAATATTCACCTGATAAAATTTAATAAAGTGAAACAAAATACTTTATTACATAGTTTAGGGCTTAAAAGGACCACATTTTTCTTGTGTAAATTACCTCTGCTTTAAGAACGTTTACCCTTTCTATTTCAATTTTCATTTCTTCTCAATACAACTTGAATAATCTAATCTAATGTATATTCACATATTTAAAGTAATTGTTTTCCTAAGAAACTTACATTTGGGTAGTTCCAATGTTGTCCATTTTAAAGGTAAAATCTGAATTATTTCAGGTTCTAAACTCAGTACAGAAAACTCCCAGAAAATCTACTTTCTTTTTATACAATACATTTTCTGTCATTTAAATACAATGCGCAAGTGCAGATATCTTTTTACAAAAGAATATCATATACACTTTATGTTATTTAAATTCAATGCAACGACGTCCCGTCGTAATTGACCCGTTCAAAGTTTATAGGGTAGAACCGTTGTTTAAAAATAAAATTGGCAGTAAACAGGAAATTTCAATTTTCAGTTTTAAATACAATGAATACAGACCTTTTTTGGTAGGATTCTTGATTTTATAAAGGAAGAAGGGGAGGGGGACGAAAACGACATGCTACATTATTGTTACTTTTTGGATAATTTACTGCTAATATTGGACCTCAGTGGCGACTATTTATCATATAAGTCATTAATATAGGGTTTTCAAGAAAGTGCAATTTCTACTCAATAAAAAAAGTTAATCCTTTGTCTACTTTATATGGTTATTGTTAATTTTGCATAGCCACTAGAAATTATACAATGTGTATACATACTAGTAATACAAGATATTTTATGCGATGATCAGAATGCTTTGCCAAGATTATCAGCACTTTAAAAATCGCTTATTCATTTCAATGTTTAAATGAGCAGCAAATGTTTTCTTTTACATTATAATACGCGTGAACACCGATGTCTTTTATTATTTCACCGGGGAATCAATCTGTCATTTGTTTTCAGCGATAGTACAATGTTCAACGGAATAGCAAGGTACAAATCGCCTTTCAGTATGGCTTTGAAAAATCCAGATTGCTACGTCTATTAAATAAAGTGTTTGTAAATGTAAGCATGAAAATAAAAGATAATAGTGGACATATATATTGTTTTCGTCTTTGTATGAGTGAAACAAATCTGGATAGGGGCGTTAAACAACAACCAATTAATCATCTATGAAATTCACAAACACTGATTGCGTTTTTCCGATTACGAATAGAAATTTTTGGTCTCTACTATGTGTAAAATTCCTTTCGTATTCCTAACAAGAAATAATGTTATGCCCTTCACTTGGCTGATTTTTTTTAATTTTTTGGTTTTAAGTCACGCTGCTTTTCCTATGCAAGAACGCTTTAAAAAAAACTCCACAGCTTCAAAAAATACATAATGCATACATATTACTTACTGACGAAATATTAGTGAATTCTAGAGAGATTAAAAGACATGTTTACTGATATTTTAAAATGGTAAATACTGAAACGAACATAACTGTTTACCCTGATTTCACATGCTTGTCACTTCTTAGTTAATTTTCCGTGATCATTTTACCCTTTCCGTAAACAGACCCTGCAGTCTCACTAAATTTCATTTTTTTTTTACTTTGATGTTCATCAAGAAATATAATATAAGATCTAAAATCGTTTTAGAGTCTTTTAAAGACTTTTTACCCCAATTTCTATTAAGGTCCGTGTTTGCTCTGCTCTAAATTTGTATGGTTTCAATGGAAATTTGAGATTGATTACTTTTAATTTCTTATTTCAGTGGTAGCTATAGAATATTAACTGGAACCCGTGTGTTTCTTTGTTTGTAAGGATTTTCTATGAAGTTTACATATAGGAATCCAGTATAGGTTCAGTAATTCAAATTCATTTTGATTTTCGGTAATACTAAAAATGATAAATACGGACATAGGCTTTTTGAAGCATTTCCTTATATGGAAATACAGAATTAAATCCTTTGAATTAGTTCTTAAAACTCAAATGAAATAATGAAACTCAACAAGCATAGACAATATTGTTACCAGTTTTGTCAGCTGAGACCAGTACATACTAATTGTATAATGTACCTAATCTTTTTGCTGACTTCTGAATTATTGAAGACAGAAGGGTAGGTGGATTCATATTGTCCCTCAGTTGCTTAATTTTAGATATAATCACCCATCTGATACTTTTAAAGAATTCTTACAAAGTGTAAATGTCTTTTTTTTTTTGGCCCATTCAGTCACGTACTTTTCTTCCATATTCATAATATTGATTGATTGAGTGTATATTGTTTAACGTCCCTCTTGAGAATTTTTCACTCATATGGAGACATCACCGTATGCCGGTGAAGGGCTTCAAATTTTGACCTTTACTCGGCACTCAGGGCCATTGAGCAGTGAGGGATCTTTATCGTGCCAACGCCTGCCAATGACACGGGGCCTCGGTTTTTAAGGTCTCTTCCGAAGGACCCGCAACTTTCACTTCAAAGTGCCGAGCGCATGGCGAAGGAACAGTTGCTACCAATTTTAACGACTAGGTCAGTCGCGGCCGAGATACGAACTCACGACCTCCCGTATTCATAACATTAATAAAATGATAACACCATTTGAAAGATAGTGATTCCCTAAATTCTGGCCCTTTTGAAAAAACAAGTGATTTAAGGTCCTCGTTTTTGTTTTAAACATATTTTATTGAAAATATGTTCAAGGGATTGCAAACAAGTTCCAAAAATAGTCCTCTCCCATACATGAATTCTCAATAGCTATATAATATTTACAAAGATTCACAATTTTATAATATAATAATATTGATAAAATACATGGGTATTCGTAGAAGAACAAAACAGCAGATATTATTGCCTAAAATATCATTTGATATACTGGTAATTATGATGGCGAAAATAACCATTCTTAAAAAAATTTCAAAAGAGGTAGTAATATAAATAATCGTTAATAATAGTAATAGTAATGACCAGTATCCTGAAGAAATTTTTGAACAATGCCAAATATTCTTTCATTTTCTTGAGACGATAATGATCCATCTCTCCATAGCAGTTAAAAAGAAGGATATGGAGATACTGGTAACGAACATTATCCAATATCAAAGTCTTGAAAAGCTTATGATTTGCAATATCCGTAATTACAGATCCCAGTCTATATGCTTATGTCAAAGAATCCAGATATGGACTTTCTTTGACTTTATCAAAAAGACTATGTAAAAGTTTCAAAGGGACAGAGGAATGTTTGGTGCAATTGTGATGAAGACATTTCTGTATATTTACATAAGGTATCGGTGAATAAAAAGAGACTTCCTGTATTATAGGTTTTTAGTAAGATCGATATCCATGACTACTCCTTGTAATAAAAAAAATTGAAAGCAATCGTCGATATATATTGGTAGGAAATTTAATGGTAGGTCTTTAATGTAGTTTTAACTTGAAATGTTGTGGAATACCATACTGGACCTTTTTGTGATAAATTAAGAATATTACTTATATTAACCGCGTCAATTTCTTTTTTTACATATTGAGTATAAGGAGAAACAGGTTGTTTCAGCTGTATTCTTTCGTAATACGAGACGATTGAAGAAGCCCAGCCTATTTAATATCCATAACCTTAGATCTGAGCCTGTATCTTTGTGTCGAAGAATCCAAATCTGGTCTTTATTATTGGAGATTATTTAAAAGTTTCAAAGTGATAGAGTTATGTTTCCCGTACGAAAATTCGAGGTGGAATAGGCACGGCTTGTGCACGGCTAAGGCACGGAATCTGCACGGGTTTTTAAAAAGCCGCACGGGTTTCCGTGTCTGAAATTGAGGAATTCTCACTCACAGAAACCCTTATGGAGGCACGGAACCCGTGTCCCAGGGAGACGGTTTTTAACTCAAGCGGGTTTTGCTTCAAATTATTTATTTTTATCTCATGGCTTTTTACTGAGCATGCTCAATCATAACTTCCTTTATTTGAATATCAAATTGGAGGGATTCGTGGTCATGAGCTAAGAATGTGTCTTTTTTTGCTCTAGTTAAAGGATATTAAACTAATATATGTAGTTGGAATTGTATTTATGTCAATCTGGGATGATTTCATCACTTTTGAACTAAATGCAGTAAGTGTAATATAGAATAAATAAGTCAATTTTTCAATTTTCATGAGCTTTCTGTATAAATCCATGACAATATACATGATGAAATGGTCTTTATGTATTTGAATGACTATAGTGGGACTATCACTATCCCTATATATTTTATGTGCATCACTGTGCTACTGTAAAAGTTTTATCTAAACTAAATTCTTTCTCAGATTGTGAAAACTTAGTTAGATTTAATTACAATGATTTGTACATTATCATAAAAATCTTATTTAAATTTAAAAAGATCATGGATTGTAACTGATATAGTAAATCTTTAAATAAATCTTTAATAGAAAGTATTAAAATGTAAAGCCTTGTGAAGTTAGTTTGTTTCAGTCACCATTTTGGCATCCACAGTTACATCATGAACTAGATCGAGACAAATGCATAGATTCCATGACTCCTTATATGGTATGTCGCACGACCTTTTTGACACGGGTTTCCAAAAATCCGTGTCTCCATATATGGAAAAGGACACGGATTTATAGAATCCGTGAGTCCATATATGGAAACTAGCACGGCTTTCTGACACGGGTTTTGTAAAACCGTGTGATGTCACTTAAACATTTCGGCCAATATCTCGTGTCGTGTCGGTGACTCGACCACTATAAATCACGGCTTTCCATGCATACTTTACATAGGAGAAGGAATGCTATAAGCACGGGTTTCTGGAGACGGAATCCGTGCCTGAGCCGTGTCTAAGCCGCCGCCCGGACTGTTTCGTACGGGAAATGGTGCGAATGTATTGAAGGCCTTACTATTTATTTACATTTGGTAGTAGTGAATCAAAACAGACATCATGTAACATAGGTTTTATTGCGGTAGACCCCACGCTTAATTAACATCTTCTAAACTATATGCGATATCAATCTTTGCACGTACTGGTTTTAAAATTTAAGCGTTCCCAGCCTTTAATGTTCTAGGTTTGTGATGTTTGTGACATTGTTTATAGGCAGTACTACATCTAAAATAAAATGCAATAAAGAAGCAAGAAGGCCTGCAACGTGCCGCAATTCTATAGAATGATGATGATTGACATGAAATAAATACAAGTGATAAATCATGGCATACATTATTACATTATGTGAGCATGAATCCTAGCTTGATTTAAAACTTTTTTATTGAAACTTTCACACATATTACAAGCATACGTACAAACGTCTGTATGAATTTATGTACAAACAAAATCAGACAAGACTAATTTAATTGAAACTTAT